CGCTTCTGTGGCGCTTATCTCTTCTTCTTTTTCTCTTTTCTTCTTTCCTCTTTCTTCTTCTTTCTTCCTCTTCTTCTTCTTCTTTCTCTTTCTTCTTCTTCTTTCTTCTTCTTTCTTCTTCTTCTTCCTTTTCTTCTTCTTCTCTTCTTCCTTACTTCTTCTTCTTCTTTTCGTTTCTTTCTTCTTCTTCTTCTTCTTGTCTGTGCCTTCTTCTCTTCTTCTTCTTCGCCCCCTGTTTCTTCTTCTTCTCTTCCTATTTCTTCTTTCTTATTCTCCTTTTCTTCTTCTCACCTCTTCTTCTTCTTCTTGTCGTTCATTCTTCCTCTTTCTTCTTCTTTTGCTTCAGTTCTTCCTCTTCTTCTTCTTCTTCCTTCCTCTTCTTCTTGCTTATTTCTTCTTCTTCCTCTTCTTCTTCTTCTTCTTCTCTTTTCTTCTTCTTCCTCTTCTTTCTTCTTCTTCTTTCCTCTTATTCTTCTCTTTGGTCTTTTTCTGTGCCTTCTTTTCTTTCTTCTTCTTTCATTCTTCTTCCTACTTCTTTCTTCTTGTTCTTCTTTCTTCTTCTTCTTCTTTTTCTTCTTTTTCTCTTCTTTCTTCTTTCTTGCCTGTGCTTGCTTCTTCTTCTTCTTTCTTCTTCTTCCTGCTTCCTTTCTTCTTCTTCTTCTTCTTTCTTCTTACTTCTTGCTTGGTTTCTTGCTTGACTGTGCTTGCCTCTTTCTTCTTTCTTCTTCTTCTTCCTCTTCTTCTTCTTCTTCTTGTCTTCCTCTTCTGTCTTCTTTCTTCGCCTTCTTCTTCTTCTTCTTCTTCTTCCCTTCTTCTTCCGGTCGATGCTTCCGTCTCGCTGGTCTGGTCGTTGTGGTATTTTGTGTTTTTAAAGTATTTTTAAATGGAGGCTTCCAAAAACACTCGGCAGGCTCCTCCCACCGTCCGCCCGAGTCTGAAACACGGATGGAACACTTGAAGACTACGTATACAGACGAAAACAGCAGACCATAACGAAGAACCAGGACATATCAACCAGAAAGCTACTGCAAACTAGACGAACTAGAGAAAACCAAGAACGTCAAACCGATAAGTAGAGAACTAAGGATCCAGGATAGAACGAGAACTATAACCAGACTAAAGCCAGGATAAAGCCAGGACTAACCAGGACTAGAACCAGACTAATCAGCCAGTGACTAAAAGAAAACACTCCAGGTTAGACTAGAAATCCCGAGTCTAAACCCAGAACTAATACCAGGTTACTAAAACCAGAATGAACCAGAATAAGAACCAGGAACATCAAAAGACCAGAACTATAAAACCAGAGACTAAACGCAAGGACTAAACCAGGGACTAAAAACCAGGACTAAACCACGACGCTCAATCAGGTCTCAAACCAGGTCTAAACCCAGGATACCAGGACTAAACACCAGAACTAAACCAGGACTAAAACCAGGACAACCAGGAATACCAGAAAACTAAAGCCAGAAACTAAAAAGGCCCAAGGAACTCAAATTGCGCCAGTAAAATAATGCAGAGAGTGATCTGTAAAAGCGAGAGACTATAAAAGGCCCGATAAAGACAAAACCAGGACTAGAACCGTTAGCCGTCTATAAACAGGTCTAAACCAAGGACTAAACGACAGAGTTAGAACAACAGGATTAGCGAACACAGCGACTAAAGAAGCGCCCAGTAAGAAACTAAGCAGAGCACTTCAAACGCAGTGGAGGAACGCTAAACCAGACTAAACCAGATTGACGTGGGAGAAACCGAGGCAATTCTAAACCAGGGACTAGGAACCAGGACTAAACAGCGGACTTGATAACGCAGACGAGACCAAGGACTAATCACAGGGTCTGAGAAACCAAAAGTTCCGTTAACAACGCAGGACTAAAAACCAGGACTAAAACCCGAGTTAACTGAGAACCAGGACTAAACCAAGGGACTAAACGACAGGGTACTAACCAGGTCGTAAGACCAAAAAGGATCTAGAGAAGTAACGCCAGAGATATGAAACCACGTGGAGCTAAAACCAGAACTGAGACCAAGGACTAAAACCCAGGCTAACCAGGTTAACCAGGTCTAAACCCAGGTCTAACCAGGACCTAAACCAAGGTCTAAACCACAGGACTAAACCAGAACTAAACAGGACTAAACCCAGGACTAAAACCAGGACTAAACCAGAAACTAAACCAGGACTAAACCAGGACTAAACCAGAAGACTCAAACCAGTGTGATAAAACCGATGTAACGAACAACCAAGGTCTAGCAACCAGGTTGAGAACCAGGACTTAGAAACCAAGGAACTGGAAACGCAGGACATAGAGACAGGACTAGAAACAGGACTTAAACAGAACTAGAAACCAGAACGTCAGTCTAGACCAGGGTCTAGACCAGAGGACTACAACCAGGTGACTAAACACGAGGACTAAAAACAGGACTAAACCAGAACTATAAACCAGAACCTAAAACCAGTGCTAACCAAGTTAAAACCAGGACTAAACCAGGACTCAAACCAGGAACTAAACCAGGACTAAACCAGGACTAAAGAACGCAGAACTAACAGAACTAAACAAGGTCCTAAACAGATAAAACCAAGGTCTTAAAACAGGACTAAACCAGGACAAACCAGGACTAACAGGACTAACCAAGAAACTAAACAGAACTAAACCAGGTCTAACCCAGTCTAAAACCAGGACTAACCCAGGATAAAAACCGAAGGACTATAAACCAGGTCAACAGACTAAACCAGGACTAAACCAGGACTACCAGAACTAAACCAGAACAAACACCAGGTCTAAAACATCAGGTCGTAGACCAGACTATACCAGGACTACCAGACTAAACCAGGGCTAAACCAGGACTAAACCCAGAACTAAACCAGAACTAACGGTCTAAACCAGGACTGAAACCAGACAAAACCAGGATTAAACCAGGACTAACCAGGATAAACCAAAAAACTAACCAGAACTAAACCAGTTGTCTAACACAGGTCTAAACCGGACTAAACAGGACTCTAAAGCCAGGTTCCTAAACCAAGACTAAACCAGGACTAAACCGGAGAACTAACCAGAGGACTAAACAAGGTCTAAAACAGTGACTAAACCCAGGTCTAAAAACCAGGTCTAAACCGGAACCAGGTCGTAAAACCAGAATAAAACCAAGGTCTAGAACCAGAAACTAACCAGGACTAAACCAGGTCCTAAACCAGAACTTAAAAACCCAGAACTAAAACCAGAGTCTAACCAGGACAAAACCAGAACTAAACCAGAACTAACCAGGACTGAAAACAGAACTAAAGCCAGGACTGAACCAGGACTAAAACCAGGTCTAAACCAGAACTAAAAGACCACAGGTCTAAACCAGAAACTAAAACCAGGTAGCTAAACCAGGTCTAAAACCCAGAACTAAACCAGGGTCTAAGAACACGCGGTTCGATCCGAGTTGTGTAACTAAAACCCAGGGACGAGAAGGAGACTAGGAGACTAAGGCTATAGCTCTGAAAGCCATGAACTAACGACCAAGACTATAAACAAACCACAAGAGTCGTAAAACCAACGACTGAACACCAGGGACTAGAACAGCAGGAGCGTAGTGCCAAGGGTTCTAAAGATGCCAGGGTCTAACCGAGGAAACTAACATCCAGGGTCTAGAACCAGTCTAAAACACAGACGATAGAAGATCGATGACTGAGCTTCAGGAAGGAGCACCATGAGAAGTCGTGCACTGTGATGCCTAGACGAGAACCAGTACAGGACGAGGCTAGAACAGAGCTCAGACTAACCAGGCTAAACCAGGACTAACCACGGACTAAACCAGAAACTAAAAACCCAGTTAAGAAACCGAAAGCGTGAAAAGCCAAGGTCGTAAGACAGTCTGGAGAGAACCGATGGAGTAGAGAAAGTCACCAGGACTAAAACCAAGAACTAACCAAGAATAAACCAAGGTCTAAACCAGGAACTACCAGGATAACCAGAACTAACCAGGTCTAACCGAGGTCTAAACCAGGATCTAACCAGAAACTAAACGCAGGACTAAACCAGGAACTGAAACCAGGTCTAAAACCAGGAGCTAAAACGCAGCAACTAAACCAGAAACTAAACCAGGGACTAAAACCAGAACTAAAAACCAGGAATTCAAAAAGCACAGGGACCATGTGCTTACTACACAAGTGTGACGAGCACATGATGTCGTGAGGTAATAGGTAGGCTAAAAGACGAGACCGTTGGATAGATTATCGGCGGAATGCGCAGGAGTCAGTTCTAGTTCTCGTCAGGCGACGAAACAGATTATCTGTATTGCAGTGTGATCTGTGCGGTATTCCTGCCTGAGTAACGCCGGGCAGTTAGGCGATGGTTGTGATTATACAAGTGTGACGAAAGCCTTTCAGCAAGAAATCGAACCTCAAACTCAAACTCTGGGTCATCTCGGTCTCTGTTGGTTCTATACTGTTGTTTATATGTTCTTTGGAGATAAATGGTTGATATTGTTCTAATGTTTGTTATTGTTCTAAATGTTCTGTTATTGGTTGGTTCTAAATGTTCTGTTATTGTTCTAAATGTTCTGTTGTTGTTCTAAATGTTCTGTTATTGTTCTAAATGTTCTGTTATTGTTCTAAATGTTCTGTTGGTTCTAAATGTTCTGTTATTGTTCTAAATGTTCTGTTATGTTCTGTTTCTGTTTTTCTAAATGTTTTTTGTTCCTAAATGTTCTGTTATTGTTCTAATGTTCTTGTATTGTTCTAAAGTTTATTGTTCTAAATGTTCTGTTATTGTTCTAAAAATGTTATTGTTCTAAAATGTTCTGTTCTAAATGTTCTGTTATTGGTTCTAAATGTTCTGTTATTGTTCTAAATGTTCTGTTGTTGTTCTAAATGTTCTGTTATTGTTCTAAATGTTCTGTTATTGTTCTAAATGTTCTGTTATTGTTCTAAAGGTTCTGTTGTTCTAAATGTTCTGTTATTGTTCTAAATGTTCTGTTGTTGTTCTAAATGTTCTGTTATTGTTCTAAATGTTCTGTTATTGTTCTAAATGTTCTGTTATTGTTCTAAATGTTCTGTTATTGTTCTAAATGTTCTGTTGTTGTTCTAAATGTTCTTGTCGTTTGTATAAATTCCTCTGACACGTTGGACGGAACCATTCCTCTGCGGGGGGGTTGTGTTTGTGGTTTGGTCCCGCCTCCCCCCCCCGGGCTCCGCGGTGGTTCGGTCCGGCGCAGGGAGGCTCCGTGGAGGTTTTTGGTTTGGTTTTTTTTTTTTTTTTTTTTTTTTTGGACTCCAGCTGATCCGTGCCCGAGGACTCAGCACCGGGTCAGGACCAGAGGACCAGAGCGCGGCGCGGGTCCGGGAGCTTCTCAGTGACTCGGAGGAGGAAGAAGAAGAAGAAGAGGAAGAAGAAACGGACGAGGACATTTTGAACAGTTCGCTCCGGAAACGCGGAGGAGGCGCACGCACCATGAAATAACCGCGGACACGAGCAGGAGAAGAACCGAGCCGAGCCGAGCGGAACCGGGCCGGACCGGGTCAGACATGTCGTGGTTGTCCCCCGTGTCCTGGGCCAAGTGGACGTGGACGGCGGTGCGCGGCGCGGACGAGGAGGACGGAGGCGGCGCGGAGGATGAGACGGAGCCCGGGGGGAGAAGAACCGACACCGCGGAGGAGAGAGACGAGTGAGTACCGAACCCACCGGAACCCACACCGGAACACACCGGAACACACCGGAACCAACAACAGAACCCACCGACAGAACCACCAGAACCAGGACAGAACCAGGACAGAGCGATGCGAGACGCGCACGTGAGGATCTGTGCCCAAAATAATAAAAAAAGAAACGTCCTCCACGTGATGATGTTCTGGTTATGACGTCATTATTAGACATTTTAAAAACTACAGTTTAAGAACAACAACACAGAACAGAGAACAACTGACCCGGGAGAACTTCGAGTCACGTTCTGATGTTCTGATGTTCCTCCTCAAAAAAAACCAAAAAAACAAAACACCTGGACTTGTTTTTGTTTCACGTGTCACTGAGGAACTAAACCAGGACTAAACCAGGACTAAACCAGGTCTAAACCAGGACTAAACCAGGACTAAACCAGGACTAAACCAGGACTAAACCAGGACTAAACCAGGTAAACCAGACTAAACCAGGACTAAACCAGGACTAAACCAGAACTAAACCAGGTCTAAAACCAGGTCTAAACCAGGTCTAAACCAGGACTAAACCAGGTCTAACTAAACCAGGTCTAAACCAGGACTAAACCAGGACTAAACCAGGTCTAAACCAGGACTAAACCAGGACTAAACCAGGACTAAACCAGGTCTAAACCAGGTCTAACCAGGACTAAACCAGGTCTAACCAGTCTAAACAGCTAAACCAGACTACCAGACTAAACCAGGACTAAACCAGGTCTAAACCAGGACTAAACCAGGACTAAACCAGGACTAAACCAGGTCTAAACCAGGACTAAACCAGGTCTAAACCAGGACTAAACCAGGTCTAAAGGTGATCTGGGCACAGGTGAGGGGGAATTATGTGAAAAAAATATTTTTTCTTCTTTTTTTTTTTAAGAGTTTGAGCCACAGACTTTAGCTCCGCCTTTTTAAACATCAGAAAGTATTTGGAGTAGCTTTTGTAGTATTTGTAGTATATGCAGTAGTACTTATAGTATTTGTAGTATATGCAGTAGTACTTTAGTATATGCAGTAGTACTTGTAGTATTTGTAGTATATGCAGTAGTACTTGTAGTATTTGTAGTATATGCAGTAGTACTTGTAGTATATGCAGTAGTACTTGTAGTATATGCAGTAGTACTTGTAGTATATGCAGTAGTATTTGTAGTATATGCAGTAGTATTTGTATTTGTAGTTTGTAGTAGTATTTGTAGCAGTAGTACTTGTAGTATTTGTAGTATATGCAGTATAGTACTTGTAGTATTTGTAGTATATGTAGTAGTATGCAGTAGTACTTATGCAGTAGTACTTGTAGTATATTGTAGTATATATGCAGTAGTACTTGTAGTATTTGTAGTATATGCAGTAGTACTTGTAGTATTTGTAGTATATGCAGTAGTACTTGTAATTTGTAGTTATGTAGTATTGTAGTATGCAGTAGTACTTGTAGTATATGCAGTAGTATTGTAGTAGTATTTGTAGTATTTGCAGTAGTACTTAGTACTTGTAGTAGTATATGCAGTAGTATTTGTAGTATATGCAGTAGTACTTTGTAGTATATGCAGTAGTACTTGTAGTATTTGTAGTATATGCAGTAGTACTTGTAGTATTTGTAGTATATGCAGTAGTACTTGTAGTATTTGTAGTATATGCAGTAGTATTTGTAGTATATGCAGTAGTACTTGTAGTATATGCAGTAGTACTTGTAGTATTTGTAGTATATGCAGTAGTACTTGTAGTATTTTTAGTATTGCAGTAGTATTTGTAGTATATTGCAGTAGTATTTGTATAGTAGTATTGTAGTATATGCAGTAGTACTTGTAGTATTTGTAGTATATGCATAGTATTTG